TCCCATTGCATTGAATACCCAAGAAAAGCCAACTGTTATACGCTCCCCATAGCGTAACTGGCCTTCAGAATTCTAGGGATAAAAATCACTTCACTTGTCCAAGTTAAGCTAGGAAACATAAGGCCAGGTTGCTTTTGCTGCTGTCACTTGATAGGCAGCTCTTTTCACTTGTCAAGGAAAGCGATTTTTATATATGTATATTATCAATTTTTTATTATCATTATGTACATAGCATTAATATGTTTGAATATCTAAGCTCATTTAATTGCAATGCAGGTTTTAATTTTGATGCTATTTTCAGTAATACATTCTTCAGATAAATGTTGCTTGCCATTGACCAAAATACATCAGTTTGAGATGACTGCTAGCTGAAGTAAACTGATGTTAATACTTGGTCTAGTGCTTGAATTTCCTTCCATATTTCATGAAGCTAGACAATTGCATGGAAAGCATTAGTCACATCTTCTGAGAAGTGTAGCAGAATAGCGTGCAGAAAATTTAGCTTTAAACTTCATCTGCATCGAATTTTTTTATCCTGTTTTCAGTAGTAGTTGGCCATAAGAAGTAGTTGTTGGTGATATCTAGTGCTCTTGATTTCTTCACTTTGTGTTAATAGGAACAAGGGGTAGTTTTGGGCTTTCTGTCACAGCTTTGTGCTGTGATGAAGAACCTAGTATGACTGGTAAATGGTATGGCCCCAAGCACATTAATCTGGTACTCATACTTCAAGGGATATAGACAGTGCAGGAGCAATGATATGTTTTTATTTTAAACAAGAAATAAAAATAACCTTTGAAATTATTATTCACAAATAGATACTGGCTGAAGTAGGGAATTAGGTGATCTGTCACTAATTGTAAAGCATCATCATAATATGACGCAAAGCTACAATATAGCAATGACTATTTTTAAAGCAGAGGGGGAAAGGGATGTTGATTGGATATAAACTGATTAAGAAGCTGTCTTGGAATTGGTTGTTCCGGCCATCCTTGTTGTCCTATCATGAAAGGAGGAGAGTTCAGTAATGGTTTAACTACAATTAAATCCCTCCCCTTTCTTTATGGAAACTCAACTGTAGGCATTTCAGCATTAGCCTAAACAATGGTTTTGAATATGTTAAGCCCCTAACAATTAGGGAGCAGTTTGGGGCATTGAATAATGTGGAATGATGCAATTGAACCTGACAGCTTCAACAGTCAACCTACTCATGGGACCCGAAAGTTGTTCACACTTGGTTTCATCTCTCATCACACGCTGAGTATTAAAACCTTACTGGTGTGGAGCTGAGACAGAAATGGGGCCTGTTATCAGAAAATATTTCATAGCATAAAACTTGAAAGGCACAGGGGAATAGGCATGCTCAAAGGTTCTCAAATTTTTGAGACCTAATCTAATTGTATACAGCGAAGTATTGTCTCATTTTCTCCCCTTTGTTTTTTTTTGCTTGAAGAGCATGTAACTTTTGAAATGAAGAAATTGTTTTCCCTGGAAATTTAAGTAAATATCCGGTTATGAATGCAAATAGTTGTCAACTTGGGAAACTTCATAGTCATACTGTTACAGTAAAATACCATTTTGGACTGATGAAAACAAATATAACACTATTGTAAATATTTCAGAGGATATTTATATATACGAGTTAAATTTAGTTAACTTGCAAATCTAGTTCTTTAATTAGAAGAATATACTTGCCCTTTCTTTCTTGCTGTAGAGAAAGCGTTTTTAAGCATCAATCAAATATCAATCATTTATTCTTATTGCACTCAGGCATTCCGTGAATTACAGTGTATCTTCCTTCTGTGCTGCTCTGCTGCTTATTGCTTTACTGATTTATTGAACATGCCATAAATGAAAGCAGTGTATTATATACCTCTAGATGGGCTTAAATCCTTCTGCTAAAATCTTTTCAGGAAAATTTGCTGCCTTTTCAAAATAAATACTTAGCAGTCTCTTTATTTTATTAGTCCATACGTTTTGATGGTGCATTGTGTTGACTGTTTGAATGGAATCAGTTGAAGTAAAGAATACTACAGCTTTAAAAGTTCTTCATTTTAGAACATGTTTCAGTCCTGTGACCTTAATATGTATTGACAGGATGATTGCGCATTTTTAATAAATGCTTGCTACAGCTTGTTTCGACTGTGAGTGAAACATGAAGCTCCTATTTCACCTTTAAATAACGTAGCACTCCTCCACCTCCTCTACTTTCCTGTCAGATGAAGTCATCACATACATAATAAAGCTTCGCAAATCGTTATTCTTGTCATTTTACGTTGTCATTTAAAAAAAGTATTTTAAAAGTTTTTTATTTACCTCCAGCATACTTGAACAATTTTACTAATATGACTTTTTCCTTTTGAGAGTTGCGTAGGATACATGATGGCACTAGAACTTCTGTAGTTCCAACTTGTTGTAGGACACCTTAACCCCTGTTAAGTTTAGGGTGAACCACCACTTGTGAAAAAAACTCAAGTTCTTGGATATTGTTTAAATCATGCTAAGTCTTTTGATCTGGTATATCAACCCACTTAGCAAACATTGTTTAATTCCTTTGATGTCTTTTGTTTTGTGATGTGATGGTTACTCAACAGACTTTAGCAACTCCTTTCACGATACTTAGATACTTTTAGAAAGTTCTTAAAGCTATTTGGGCATGTTTCAGTCCAATAAACATGTATTCTCCTTGCTGATTATAGCTGCCCTGCCATCCTAAATTAATATATAGTTGCTATTGCCCAGTTTTAAGCAGCCTTGCAGTGAATTACACAGAGTGAGAGTATGTATAGCAGCTTCTGTGTAAAATGTGAGCAGTAAGCTTACTAGAATTCAGAGAAATCTTTTATAGTAATATTCTAAAACTAAACAGAAATAAGACCTGGTGTTTAAAAAAAAAACAACAAACAGCCAAACTATATTAGTAGAATTCATAAGCTCAACAAATTTATTTGATAATGTATATATAGATTTTTATTTTGCTCGTCTTGTCTCTTAGATATGGAAGCAAATAATGGTTGAATCTTGTAATACTCCATTCTGTCAGGTTTCTTCAGTGAAAGAATTTGACAAAAAAACTGCATTGTTTTTGAAGTTTGTTTTGTTTTTGAGAGGAAAACAGCTGAAGGTTGCTAGTGAACAATAATAGTTGAGTTGGAATCATGCTATAGGCGTTTGTTAAGGAAAATGGCAGGAGCTGTGCAGTATTGCTGCCTTCATCAGTAAGTGTCACAGTACTAATACGCACTGTATTTCTGGAAGCTGTCATACCTGGGTTAGGTGGAAATGCCTGCATTATTTTTAAGACTTAAAACTAATTCAGATTAATTCTACTAAAGACATGCAATTCTTTTAAAAAAATACATAACAGCCAGATTTGAAGTGAAACTGGGGTTCCGTGTCTAGCAATCTTGCCCATACCTTTAAACTGAAAAGTGAAAAACCGTGATCATTGTAAGTAATTATTTGTGGCTTTTTCTAACTTTGTGACAGTAGAAGAATGTAAGTATCAGGCACAATTTCTCACCAATATATAGTAAATAAAGCATCATTGAAAACAGTTGTGTGAATTCATAAAAGTCCATTCATCAAGTTTAATATGTTGGCTGAAAGCCAAAACTTAATGGTAGTGTGTGATTCTTTCCAGAGACATAGTTTATACTCTGTAATATTTTGCTGTAATAACCAGTATGTTTCCCCCGTCTCTTGTGTGCAGTTATACATGTCAAAATGTCCCACAAATTGAGTTCCTTACTGTTCACCTTCTTTTTTTTTTTGTTTTTCAAAAAAAGTTTCCTTTATAAAGGTTGTTTACATTTTCTTAAAAGATTAATTTTAAAACCAGTGATCACACAGGTTGTGTATCTTTTTTTCCCCCTCCACCCCCTAATATTGCAGTCTTTTCTTTGTTCTGAAATAATTTTTATATCAGGCAGGAAAATGCCTTTTTAATAAGCAGCCATGCCTTTTTTTCTTTGATTGCCTGTCTCTGCAACTCAGCATTTGACACAAATCTTTTCTTCGAAAGGCAAAAAGCATAAGCAGCCAAGGAAGAAGGTATTTTTATTGCATTGGATTATGCAAGATTTTGGCCAGCCTTCTTAGCTTCATCTGTTTAAGGGTTCATTTTCGCTTGTTTGGCACAAGTCCCAGCAGAGACCTTCAGAATTGTGGTTAGCAACATGAATGAACACAAACTTTGGGAGCTCTTCAATAAGTAGAGCTGGCCAACTGCCAAAAATACAGTTCCTTATATGGGGTCAGGGCAAAGCTGTGATTCGGCGAGCCCCCTATTGTATAGAAAACATACTTGTAATGGCTGTTTGCATTCTTTAAAATAAAAACAAAACAAAACAAAAAAACACCAGGCTTCCAAGTCTATCAAAATAGGAAGTAACAAAATAGTGTGCAGGTTTTACTAATGACCGAGTCGAGCAAAGGAAATATGGCTCTGTGTAGTTAAACTATAGAGCTGAAAGTTGGACCTTTTGACCTCCACAGCCGGCTTGTGATGTAAGGAACCCAAGCATTTGTGAGACATCTGTTGTCTACCTGCCCTTATTTTGTAAATGGTTTAATAAGATTAAATAATTAGTAGGATAACCACATGGTCGCCATGCTACTAAGTCCCAGCATTGAGTGCATAGTTCAGGATCGCAAGGAAGTCTACCCATCCTGCTACATGGTGGTTGTTTTAAAATGCAATTTAGGTATTTTTAATATTTGCTGCAGTAATATTTTTATTAGAGGGGTTTTTTATTAACAGATCTTGCCAATGACAAGTAAAACACACTTTAAAACCTGATACATTTTCAAAGTACTGCAATTCTATTTCTGTACTCACAAATGGAAAATAATATTTTTTTCTTTTAAATACATTCCGTTTTTAAAAAACATGCAACTTAAAAAAATTAATAAGTGTGCATTAGGAAGGCTTCTTTAAAATATATGTAGCATTTCTCCCCCTTTCAAAAAAAAGGATTCAAGTTTTAACTGGTTTCTTGCAGGCAAGCACCCTACCTGGATCTTCTCTCAGTCTGCCTCCATCCCACATGTACGGCAATAGGCTGAACCCAAATTCAGCAATGGCAGCACTTATAGCTCAGTCTGAAAACAGCCAAGCAGGTAAGCCCCCTGCTGCTGCTGACAAATGTGCAACTTTACAGACTTCAGTATTTTAAAAAAGATTGTTGAATTTTATTTTTGAACTCTGCTCAGCATTTGGTTATTAAATGTTTGTATAAAGTTGTTGTGTGTTGGAAGTGAATTCTCAGTTGTCCGGCAGAACAGCGCGGGTTTTCTTCTCCCCCCTTTTTTTTTTAGTGTCTGAAATGTAAATGTTTAAGCAGAGCCATCAGCAGGCAGGAAAATGTCTCCTGTGACTTCTGTGATTGATGTGTTCAGTTCGGAGCTCTTTGCAACGAGAGGAACACAGCTCTGGGTTTTGTCGTGAATAGTTTAAACCTTTATTTGCATAATTCATGAAATTGCATTACATACAACTTCGTGTGAAAGGGATCCCGTTAGAGAACTTCTGCAGCGTTTAATAATCTTGTGAATATTTACCGATTGGCATTTTGTACCGTTGGCTCTCCTCTACAGTTTTAATGAGCCGCTGGCTTTGCTTTGTTTCATTCCCTCCGTAAGGATTTGTTGACATGTCGTAGTAGTCATGCCTGTTTGGGGGCAGGGAATGAGTTTAGCAGTTTACCAAGAATGGATCAGTCATGTCTTTGCCCTCCAAGAGGTCGGAGGTCGCTTGACTCAGAATAGGGGGAGGGCAACCTTGAAGGGGGCAGATAGGGTTATTTTATTGAGAGGCCATAGGGAAAATAACCCTTTTGAGTCCTTCCAAGCAAAACGTTTTCGTATATTTAATGAGGCCTTTTTTGTTTGTTTTACTGCGTTTTTAGCAAGGGACTTTCCTATGCTTCTGCTTATAAATAGGAATTAGTGAATTACACACTTTCATAAAGTTTTCAGTAAATTCGCGGAATAATGTCTGCTTGTTAGACGGCAGCAGTAAGTTTAATACGTTATATATTTTATGAGTTGTTTTGGGACGCAAAGTGTTAAAAAAATACAGAGCATCAGGATTTGCTGTGATAAGCATACAGATTAGCTGTCCACAGCTGTGATTCATTACTTTCACCGTAGAAATTAAAAGTGGCTGAGGGGAGGGTACTGCAAATGCAAACCACGCTTCTGTGCTGTAAAACTGAAAGGAATGAAAGAAGTGAACATAATCCATGGCCTGGTACAGCCTCAGAAATGTGTAAGGACAACACCTTACATGCTACAGTTCAGCAATCTTAAACTAGTTACGTATTCACTCTTCAGCAGTACCTACAGATAGAAGTTGAGATTTAAGGTATTTTTAAAATATCTACATCAGCTTTAAAACTCTTATCTAAGAAGAGTCGATTTATCAGCTGTGAAATATTTACACTGCAGATCAAGATCTCGGAGATAATAGCCGAAGCCTTGTTGGCAGAGGAGGTTCACCCAGAGGAAGTCTCTCACCACGGTAAGCGTTATTTACATTGGAGAGTGCAGGCAGAGGAAGTGTTTTAAGATTTGGAAACTTCACTGTCTTTTTACTTGTAATACATGAGTGTTTTAAAAGCCTATATATACGTATGTATATATACGCACGTGTATACATACATTTATTTTTATATAGATATATCCATCTGAAAAAAACCCTGATATGCCCAGATAGCTAAAGATGTGCTGACATTTACTTTTATATCAACTGAAATTAGGTTTACAAATGAAGGACTTTACTTAAGGAATGGAGACTTTCTTTAGAGGGATTTATCTGTCATTTAATCCACATGTACTACTTATCTCCCCAGATTTGTTACGAAAATAATATTTTTAGTCATATTTGCAAAAATTCCAAAATCCCTTAGGCTTAAAGACTACAACAAACACAGGAATGAGACGGTCTGAGCAGTTAAATATCAGTAAAAATTTCGAACAGATATTTTCTTCCCTTTCCCTCACCACTTCAAAATATGCAACAATTCTCTGTGGAAAAAAAAAAAAGTACTTTTTTTGTTCTGCTGCAATTCACCTCTACTACAGAAGTTTGACATAAGAATTATGCTGGAATTGTGTCACATTATTTTGTTTTAAAATACTTGCTGTTAAAATTTCAATATTGTGTTTTAAATAGTTCAGTAATATTTTCTGTATATTTTAAGTGAATCTTTGTTTTTAAAGGGCATTATTTTCCATACTGGATCCTACATGAATTAGATTTTATAGCGTTATTACTTTTTTTTTTTTTTTTTACTTAGGGACTAACCATGCGGATTTCAGCATAGCTAAAAAATGGTCGTTACACAGAACACAATGAATTTGATTGTTACAGTGTGTGTTTATTACAGTAATTTATAATAAATATCTCCAAATTAGATAATTTAATGTACATGCCTGCTGTTGTTGATCTTGTACTATATTCCTTAATTAATCAAAAGACCTCTTGTTGAATGGGTGAGAATATCCATTAGAATACTTAGGTGTTATTACCTAGTCATGAATGGCTTTTAAGCTTTCCAATACGTCTTACTTCTAAAACAATAAATAGAGAATTTACAGATTAGTTTAGACTGTGTTCTCAGTATAAATACCTATATTTACATTAGCATATAAATCTTTATATAAATAAGGAACATGTCGGTATATATACAGACAAGTAAGTTAAGAGAATTTTGCAAAGGGAAACGCTCAACAACGAGGAAATTCCGGAACTTTTGATTATATATTAAGTAGTCCTCTTATGCATATATGTTGTGCTAATTTAGAAGGTTTTAATGCCTTCTTAGTTAATATGCAAAGGCCTGGTCTTTGTACGATTTGCAGTAGGCCATAGTTGTGTTCAGGCTGTCTTTAGGTAGAATATTTGGGAAGCTAAACTTCTTAAATATGACGCTTCTATGGAATGTATGTGCAGTGTATATACAGTCCAACACTTACAACATGGTCAAATTTCACCTGGTTTTGGTGGGGATGGCAAAGGAGAACTGTATGACACAAAGGCCACCTCAGTCCACAATTGCAGAGCTTCCTTCAGCGTGTGGAAGCTGTATCACTTTGCAAAGAGCTTTTGCTAGGCAGCAGTTGTTCAAACACAAGCCAAAAAAAGGGGGGGGAGGGCAGGAGGGCAAGAAATCACTGCTGTAGTTCCAAAATTGAAAGATGGAAAAACTTAGTCTGAAATACCTAGCATGGAAAAAATTTAGAAAACTTACCCATTCAATTAAGTTCAGTAATCAGCAAATTTCACCCCTGATTTGTGTGATAAGAAAGATCACACGTATGTCGATGTTTCTAAAATGTGTAGGTAACTTTCCACCTTCCCCAGTTAAATAAATAAGTAACTCCGATTACTTAAAATATGGTTTATAGTGAATAAAAAGCTAGCTTCAGAAATCTGTTATCTGAAAACTTTGCAACTCTTAGTGTTACCTGCTTTATCTATTAAAATTATTTTTCTGCAAGTTCGGACTCACTTCCCTTTGAAGCTTATGAGATTCATAAATAACACACTCCTCTGAAAGAACCATGTAATTTTCAAATAGTTGCTTAAAATAAAAACACTTGCAGAAGCAATTGTTTGCTGTTGGTGATGCAGCCGATTTGCAGCTCTTTTGAAAAGACGTATGTGACTCATGAGCTGTATGGTCATTTCAAATTCATATTGTTCTATCTTTGTACCCCTATATAACCACAGTGTTTGATGTTTAAGCTGACATATTTAAAGTTTTAATATATTTGAGAAATATAAATACACTTGGTGTACGTGAGCTGTTTCCATTTTGCAAAGGAATTGCTGCTTTTCCCAAGGTAGCACTCAAACTTTTTTTACCCTGTACTTAACACATTTTTAAATCTAAGTTTATGTAATACCTCCATTGAAATACATATGTATGCCTATATGTAAATTCAGTATTGTTTACAATGAATACTATGAGAGTATGAATAACTGTACCCCAAACTTAAACAAAAACCAGTTGTGAAAATAAGTAAGGTATGAAACAAGGGATTCCTATCTCAGTGACAGCATCAGACCTGCGCATACAGCACATTTATGGTCCTATCGGAAACTATGATCCAAATACTATTTGAAACAGGGATTCAACCCTAGTATGCGGCAACCGTATCATGTATGGTGGATGAGGTAGGGGTTCAGCTGGAAGAGGATGGATTGACTAATGTTACGATACACGGAAATCTAGATTTTATTTTTTTTTCTCCTTCTGTGCAGGCTTCCAGTGAAGGATTGCAGAGGTTATACAGTCATGTGCTGCTTTGTTTCTACCTTTGTGAAATTGATAGGAAACAGTCCTAAGCCCAACAAGAATTTTGTTGGTGATTTATAATTCAAATGGCGCAATCTGTTAGAGTAGCGTTATGCGCCCTTCAAAAGCATGCATACAGAGAAAGAAGTTGGGGGGGGTTGTGTGGTGGTTTTCTGTATTTGTTTTCTGGTTTTGGTTGGTTGTTTTTTCTTTTTCTTTTTTTTTAGAGTGTGTTGTTTGTGTGGAGTGTAGTACATCTGTTCAGAATGTTTCCGCAAGCATGCATACAGAGAAAGAAGTTGGGGGGGGTTGTGTGGTGGTTTTCTGTATTTGTTTTCTGGTTTTGGTTGGTTTTTTTTTTTTTTTCTTTTTCTTTTTTTTTAGAGTGTGTTGTTTGTGTGGAGTGTAGTACATCTGTTCAGAATGTTTCCGCATAAACCTTCCTTCTTATCACTTCAGCACATCGTGTAAACAACTAGTTTTAAGGCCGTTTTTGCCATGTCTGTGCTGAACTGTTAAGTACTGCTGAGTTGCCATCTCTTGTCAAAAAACACTACCTTGGTTACCCATTCATCAGGGCTTTTTGTTTTAACAAGTGTTTTTCTTCTTTCATCCTGTATGCAAAAGAGGAATTATTTATAAATACTTACAGAGCTCTTAAGTCACCTACTTAAAACCTTTTCTCGTAAAAATCGCTTTGCTCCGGTGCCTGCAAAATGCTTGACAGTCATTAGGTAGCTAATGTGCTGTGACCACTGCTTATTACACTAATCATAATTAACACACTGATTTCCTGAGCCCTATATGTTGTCCTGTACTGGGACTATGGTGGTCTTGTTGGTAAGTTTGCACTGCGTCTAGGATAGTACAGCTGTGATCCTGTGATGGCACCAATAGTTATTACTTACAGTGATAACTAATATATAAGAATCTGAATCTGAGCTCACTGGAGTTGATTTAAAAAAAACCAACAACAAAACAAGCAAACAAAAGCACCAGCCAACTTTTAGTGGGCTTTGGTGTTGGTCCTGTATGAGGAATGGGGCCATGCATACCTGAGGCCAGAATCCCGAGTCAGAAATACACTGAGCATCTGGTTTTGCTCACAGGTTAAATTTTGCCCCGTCCAATGCAGAAGAAGTCTTCTCATAGGACCTGAGGGGTACTCAGCTTTCTTAGTGGCTGTGTGCTGAATATTTAATTTTCTCCTGAATGAGAAGAGACATGTGGCAGAGGGATTATTCTTTGAACTATGTGTGATCATGAGTAAAAAAGGAAGTATATTAAGTGTGCACAGGACAAGCAGAGGATAACTTTAACTTTCATTGCATCCCTTGTGAAATAATATTTTCACGTAGTCCCTCAAAAATCTTAAAACAAGTTAGCCTTTCTATGTGGAAGTACCATTACCGTGCTGATTTTAATACGTTGGAGTGTTTTTCCCGGTTTTCTCTGGGAAAGGTTTGAAGATTTTTTTTTTTTTTTTTAAAGACAGGTGCTCTGTGTATCCATATACCGTGGTTTCCTGCTGTAGAAGTATGTGTTGTATAATTTAATACAATGCTGTTTGTCAGTTAGGTATTATGTTAGTCTGCATGCAAGAGAGGTTATGTGCTTTCTCAGTATAAATTCTCATGCTGTAAAATATTACATCTTTTTTTTTATAAAAGCCTTGGCAGTGAGAACCAGGAGTTCTTAGTGGTTTTGATGAATTAACTTAGTCTTGGAACTGTAAGCTATGTAGGTGCTAAGGGCTGATAAAAGGTAAGAAACTTCAACAGCCTTTTACTAATACATTCCCTTCCATCCTTTTCTTTAAACAATAAATTGCAATATTTTCAACAGATCCCCTGTAAGCAGCTTGCAGATCCGCTATGATCCATCAGGGAACAGTTGTGGGGAAAATTTGCCTCCAGTAGCAGCCAGCATAGAACAGCTTCTGGAGAGGCAATGGAGTGAAGGACAGCAGTTTTTATTAGAGCAAGGCACCCCTAGTGACAGTAAGTACTCACATTCGGTTTATTACTGCTTTTGTTAACTGTGTTATTCAGAACTGCCATTCAGCGCTTGTCCAAGAATTTTAAAAAAACCTTATCTTCTACTGTGAATAGAAATATAACTGTAGTGTGGAATTGTAACATAGCTCCTAATGCAGCACATGGCTTCAGTAGATTACAAGAGTTCTCTATAATTATCTACATTTTTATGGATGGGGAAATTGTGTCAGGCAAGAGGAAGTGACTTGCAGATCCAGCTGGTTGGTTGCAGCGTTTGGAAATGAATTCTGGACTCTTAGATCCACTACTGTAAATAGTACAGCACAGTTCCCCAGTTCGCTTTATATTGTGTGATATAAATTGGCATAATAATTTTTTATTGTTATATTTGTCATTTTTCAATTCTGTCTACTTCTGTTGCTGTTTTAGAAAAAATGTTTACACATGTGAGGCAGGTGTCTTACTGGACTTTTCGTATTTTTATTATGTTCTGCATTTCTTGTGAAATTCTCAAAGCAAGCAAATAATTATTTTCTCAAGTTATGTTTAATAGAGTGGAATAGTCCAAGAATGAATACGTTAAAAGCATAAGTGATGAGTAGATCACTTTGGATCTCCATATTCAACAATATATCGGTATCAAAGACAATGACTGAATACATTTAAAAATTTTTTTTTTTTAATACCAGGTTAGGGTTTGTGTTATATTTTATTGAACATATTCTTCTTCTTGTTGGTAGTGTAAAGTGGTATCTAGTTGGTATTTTTATGAATGGTATCCTGACAAAAATGCTAATTGTGAGGAAATTCATGCAGGGATAATCCTTTAAACATGATAGCTGGAGGACAGGTTTAGCTAAGTCTTATTGCATCTCATTTGGGCTCACTGAGGGTTCCTTTGTATGTTCTTGAAGAGGAGGGATAAAAGCTAAATCCTTGGGAAATGACCAGATGTGCCTATACCAGTAGACTTATGTCTGTAGTAGGCCCAGAGGTCATGTTAAACAAATACAATTTAGAATTAAAAAAAAAAAAAAAAATGGCTATCCCTGTGGCTTTACAGTCACACTCCAGTACTAGTTGGGAAATCCAAGTTCTGAAACCAAATCGGAGTTTGAGAAAACCGTGCTTGGTAAAAATCAGGTTAGTACAGAAGATGATGCCCTTTTTCTGCAAAAAAAGGGGTGGTAACTGCAGTGCTCACACAGTGCTCCCTGCTGGGTGATTTGTAGATCGCTGCTCAAAGCAAATGAGAGCTCCTGCTCACAAGGTGTGTCATGATAACTTCACGTTGGGTGACAGTTTTTTCATTGTTTCTGGAAGTTTGTGATTCACTGTACAGGGCATTAAAGCAGAAAACTTCCCTTTTCACAAACTTGCTTGTTTGTATATAAATAATGTTGGTTGGCTGTATTGTTAGTTGAATGCGTATTTGTCAAACTTGCTCTATTTTGATAATGTTTAAAATTTCTAATACTGCAGCTGAAATAGATTTTTCCCAACTATGCAATTAACCTGTGCTACTAAAATAATATTTTTATATTCTCGTTTGGGGATAAGTTATCATTTACTGCTGTTTGCTAAAAGGAATGTCAGCCCTAATGATGCGACTTCATCTGTATTTAACCCAGGGTGTAGATATATTGCAAAATTACTATCACATGCTACCCACTTTTTTCTGCACTTCAAATTACACAAAATTGATCCTAAACCTTTCCACTTAAAGTCAAATTTCTGTAATGTGTCTCTCTGTAATAATTTTATTTATATTTTCACATATGACTTAAGGCTAGTCTTAAATTGTAATACAGAAATTAAAAAAATGAAGACGTTCTTCATTCTTTGAATGTGGTTGCGAAAAATAACAAATGCATTTTTACCTTAGTTTTAGGAATGCTTAAATCATTACACCAACTTCAGGTTGAAAATAGGCGGTTAGAAGAACAGATAAAGAATCTGACCGCTAAGAAGGAGCGGCTTCAGCTACTCAATGCTCAGCTTTCGGTGCCCTTTCCAACAATAACTTCAAATCCTAGCCCTTCTCATCAAGTACATGCCTTTCCAGTACAAGCAGGTAAGTAGAGTATTAAAGTGTCAAAGTAATTCGAACACGTATTTATATGAAGGATCTATTTCATCCCTGTATGCCATTGATGGGAGATGCATATACATGTAGGATGAATATAGACTAAGTATTTGTTTGTGTGTTTAAATGTTTAAAAGTCAATTGGAAGATTTATATGAACCATTACTACTTGTTCCAGTGCAGTTTTTTTTCTTCAGTCTGGAGCACATCTGTTTGAATCTATTGATTCACCAGTTATTTAGTTAATCTTTTAGTATTCAGCAATGATTTTAAGGTTGACTTTGCATTTTCTATGTTTACCTTTGACATTATTTTGAAGTAATTATTCTGAATCTTTTTTGACATGTTACAGATATTTAACCACTGTGTGTTTTTTTGAAATAATTACTTTAGCACCTAGCACTGATTCCTTGAACAGCAGTAAAAGCCCTCATCTGGGGAACAGTTTTTTACCAGACAATTCTCTTCCTGTATTAAATCAGGTAATTTTTATTTGCTTCTTCTAAACTTAAACTTGTTACAAGTTAACTCATCGTAGTCCTTGCATTGTGCTGTTAGGTGAAATTTTATGCAGCTGAGGGGGTTTTGTTGTTTGTTTTTACACCAGGAGATAACCTCCAGCGGACAAAGCACCAGCAGTTCATCAGCTCTTTCCACTCCACCACCTGCTGGGCAGAGTCCAGCTCAGCAAGGCTCAGGAGTCACAGGAGTTCAACAGGTCAATGGTGTGACAGTGGGGGCACTAGCTAGTGGTATGCAGACTGTAACCTCCACCATTCCTGCAGTGCCTGGTGTGGGTGGAATAATTGGAGCACTGCCAGCCAGCCAGCTGGCAATCAATGGAATTGTAGGGGCTTTAAATGGGGTAATTCAGACCCCAGCAACAATATCGCAGAACCCTTCTCCTCTCACTCATGCAACTGTGCCACCCAATGCAACGCATCCTCTGCCAACCACGTTAAACAACAGGTAAGAATTTGCTGATTTTTGTTTTTCCTGACAGTGCCTGCTGTTCTTCAGGTTAGCTGTATTTTTTACCTGTCTTATTCAAAAGGTACTGTTTCTTCCTTAGCCTGTAATTGTCAAACTAGGTTCTGCTCCTGATCTGCGAATGAAAGTAAGAAGGCATTTAATGGAAGCGCGAATAGTCAAGTTAAAGAAAAGATGTTTTCTGTTTAGCTTTTGGGAGTCCTAGTGACCATTTATTCCTGTTTTTTACTCAAATCACATTCCCAAACAAATGTAATTATGTAAATGTGCTTCAGCTCTTTTTTTTTTTTAGTTCAGAAAACAATATTCTTTGTCTTGCCAATTGTTCTTCCATGATTAAAGTAGCACTGGAAAAGCTACCATTTGTTGCAGTAAGAAGGGGGGAGGGGGAGACGAGTATACGGACATGTAATTAAAGATGTAACAGGCATAACTAACCAGAGTAGTGATACAGTTGCATGGTGTCTTCAGTTCTCTGCATCTGTGACTCCAAAGACAACAACATTATTTTTTCAGGTGGTGTTCCTAAGGATTTTTAAATGCATAAAAAGATCCATGTTTGAGTATTCGTAGCAGCCCTTCCCCAAAAAACAGGTATCCTCAGTAGCATAAACTGCTGCTGCTTGAGGTGCAAGGCAAATGGGTAACAAAAGGAGACAGCTGCTTTCCAGGAAGGGGAATGGCCTGCTTGGTCTGGAAGTGTTTTGGGATAGAGCAGAGCCTGGGCTAACTCATTCTCCCCGCTCCCCTTCCCCCCACTCTTTGTATTGTCCTTCACTTAGGAAGGAGAGCTATGGTTCTATGTAGAAAGAAATGCCTGCAAATTAGGGAGTGGATTACTTGTCTTTAAGTAGAGTTTATTTTTGGAGATTATGGTGGATTACCCACCAAAAAAGGCGCATGTGATTGGAATGATGCAAGGGATGCCTGGTTTTGTAGCTTCTTTTTCCAGTTTCTTTCCTCACTGTATGTTTGGCAGCTACTGAATGTTCGTGTACAGTATCATTGTGTGGTATTGCTTCAATAGGCTCATAAAACCTGATACTTTCAAGTGTATCCTGTTGTTTTGATGAGCTATCATATTTGTTCTGAGGACGTTATGTTTTTCCTAGTTTATATCATATATGAACATAGCATTTCGTACGTTAAACAAAAGACATTTTCTTCATTAAAAGTTACCTTCTTTATTGAGTATCAGAGGTCTGCTGAAAACACAAGAATTTTGTGTTACTCTCCCCAAAAGTGTGAGGAGGAGTGAAGAATACTAGACAAAATCAGTAATATTAACCAGTTGTGTAATGCTTTCCACTTTCAGGTAATGCCAAAATATACCAGTTGTGCTGCTATTTCCTCATAATGTTTTTATTAATAGACAGATTATTTATTTCTGACTCTTTATATTGCAGAAGTTCTTTTGTCTTTTTTTTTTTTTTTTTTATATCCAGCTTTACTGCTCTTGAGTGTGTAGCCTAGTAGTAGACTACTCCAGTTCATGCAGAATAGTGCAACTAGTATCCCGTTCATTAGCTTTCATTCTAACTGTTAGCATAGTCTGGAATACTTCAACGATTCCCTGTTTTCTGCTACAACAAGCTTATGAAGTACAACTCTGCCAGCATTTCCATTTTTCTATTTCTATTCTTGCATGATCTCTTTCTGAACTGCTCCCTCAATAATTAATATTTATTTTAAATTTAAAAGTGCACTTTTCACACAATTCTCTGCTTTACTGAGCTCATCCAGATGATTTGCTGGGCCCCCTTCCTTTTGAGATGTTTCACAATTGCCCCCATTTTCTGTGAGTTTTCAGTATTTCTAGGTGTATATTTAGAGGAAAAAAGTTCAGGCCGAGCAAGCACTAATGCTAATTAGTGCTAATACGATTATAGCAATGATACATGCATTCCTCATTCCTGTTTCTTCCATTACAAATGCTTCAGTGAAAAAGATGAAAAAACTTTTCTGTTACTGGAAGTTAAGTTGTGAAGAGGCTCTGGGATGACTTTGAATGAAGGAAAAAAAAGGAAAAAAGAAGAAAAAAAAAAAGTATTTTCCACTGATTGAGATTATTGGTTCCGAAACTATGTGGGAAACCTGCCACTCTTGAGTTTAATGCTGTTTCAGTGGCAACTAGTTGACTCTTTAATGTCAAATTCCTCTGGGCATCACTACTCTTTGAACTGCGTGAGTGGGAGGGTTAAATGGTAACAAGCCCAGGCAGGTATGGAGGTCTGCTACCATGCTATTGCGAGCTCTCTGAACCTGGTTAGAGTGCACGGGGGTGATCAAGTTTGGAGCTGGCTTAAACCAGTATGCCCAAGGTGATGGGAAGTCACATGAGAACTCAGTGCTGCTTTCTAACTTGTTTTGCATTTTTCGAAGATAAAAGACTTCCCAGATGTTCCTCTAAGTTGCTACTTACAGTAGCTTCCCAAGCTTCTGTTCGGACAGATTCATGTGAAAAATAGCTAGATTATTCACCTATACATGAAGACTTCTTTATGCATATTGTCCTTATTCACATGAGCTCTTTGACGGTGGGCCGTAGGGAGGTGGCAAAACACTGATCCACACACTGCTGTTGGAGAGAGTTTCAAATTGTAGGTAAAAGTCATTTGGCAGAGAAAAATGCTCAATCCTTTTCTGGGAAAAAGATGGCTCAATACAGATTGCTAGCAACCAGGAGATTAAGTGATTTGAGGAAAAAGATGGGATTGTTTCTTTACATTCTCACAACCAGAGAAGACTGTAGGATGGAGAGTTTCAGACTGATCATATACCTTTTAATGAGAAGCTAAAAAGGATTAAATTTACATTCCAAGCTGATCTGGTTTAGTGAGAGCTCTGTGGTGAAATCCAGTGAACTGCCTCCTCTGGGAAGCTTGGGAGCTGCAGCGTTTTGTCTTCTGCAGTTAGGTTTTGTTTCTAGACGCTTAGATCTCAGCGGCTGGCTGAGGGTATTTTCTTACAAGTGCCAATGTAGAGCAAGAGAGGACGACAGAGTGGATAAAGAGAAGGGAGAACAACAGCAGAAGAAAGGAGTGCAAAGGTAGAACATGATGTAGGAAAAAAGAAAGAATGGGATAAAAGAATGAAAAAAAAAACAGTGGAGAAGATTGATTCCAATATAGAAGAATACAGAAAAAAGTGAAGTAAAAAGAGAAGAATGAAATAATGGTAATATTAGTCAAACTGAAGGTACCTATTTTTTTTTGCGGTTGTTGCAAATATTTTTGATACAATTGAATTTAACGCTGTTGGAAGGAATTTCAATTAATTGACGAGTGTCATCATTTAAAAGTCAAACATATTCACAGTTCTAGCTTATGTTAGGCCTGACTTTTCTGGTTGTAGCTCAGGAGGAAAATCTAGGAGTTTCCTTGGATAGGTGAAGTGTCATCTCTGCTTTCATCAACAATCAAACAAACATTGCTAGCAGTTATTGGGGAATAAATAGAATGGTGTTATCCGTTTTGTGTTCTGGCACGTTAAATCCCTGGTGTGTGTGCACCTGGAATATTATGTGCAGTTCTGATTATGCAGTTTCAGAAAAGGGTATAATACAAGGAAAAAAAACCAGTACAGCAGGA